TACATTGACTGTATGCACAATGCAATATTACCATGGAAAATATTTAAATTAGGCGTTCATTTTGACAGACAATGCACAAAACACTGGTATGTAACTTATAGACAAGACACTGTGGCTACACAAGCTGACTTTAGCAGATCAATCGTTTTAGATGACGCATACATACAGACAATAATCTAGTTGCAGATCTGTCTCTTGGTTTTTCCTCAGTTTCATTCTTTTATTATTTCACCTGTTTCCCCTGGGGTGTTGGTAGTGTTACAGAGTACAGTATGACTTGCCATACATGACCGAACTAGAAATTGGCCAACAAATTTGGCCACGAGTAGCTTTACAGTTTCATTTCAGAAAGCGAGCTTGTACTCTAAACCAGGAGAAATGTAATTTTTCCTTCCCTGTTCCACTTGAATAAGAGGCTGAGCTGTAAACCAAATATTTTTTTTTCATGTTTGGTGAATGGTTCGCTATTAGACTGGTTTCATTGTTTACTCCCGACACAACAAGCTCCAATTTTTACAAATATTTATACATTTGATTTCAAAGGCATTTATTCAGCACAGTGTGTGTTACAAAGTTATTCAATTGGCAATATAGAAACATGTGGGTTTAGTTTGAATTGTGAAATTTATAAATATTTGTGAAAAAAAATAAGGGAATGGGTTTGTGGTGTCTATAGTAAAGTCTGTATTTATAAGATGTTATTTATTTTGCATCATACAACATTGATATTTTCAGAAACCAAACAACTCCTTTGATGGAAGTCAAAGAAAGTGGTGGTTAAATTCAGGGAGTTATTTATTTCAATAGAATTCATGCATGACCCACCAAACACCACCACCCAAAAAAATCACATCCAAGCAATTTTGGCATTATCCTAAAACAACAATTTTCATTTCTGTACCCTGTTTTTTTGCGATGTCAGGGGACAGCTGATAATTTTTTTTTCGTTTTTCCCCGACCTCATTCCATAAACGATGTTTTAATTGTGCGAAAACATTTGCTACATTGTTGATTTTTAACTAGTGTACATTTCATTAAAATGTTCGCAGTGTTTATTTTGATGTTTGTGTATTTTCTTTAACATGCCTTCATATCACTTTATGTGCTAATGACTAATATAGTACAAGGGTGAAATTAAAGTTCAGCAAATAAAATCACTAACCCTCACTACGCCTTCCAAAATGTAAAAAAAAAACTTTTTAGGTTTCGAGACAATCTGAGACTGTCCTTCAAGTGGCATTCCTTGGCTTGTGTTATGTTTGATATAGGTCCATTGCGATGTATTAACTGCAAACTAAATTTATTACTGCTACAATTTTATTGAGCCCCAGCATTTTCAAAGTAAATACACTGTAAGCCCATAATACATTTGTTTTTAAATCAAATTACATTTATTAGCTACCCTTTTCAATTCATAGATAATAGGGTCTGAATTGAAAATGTTGACATTACAAATTTTTTCTTCAGGGACAAGAGATTATAAAAGCACGCAAAGTATATGAACGTCTGGTAGCACAGTTTCCAAATGCAGGAAGATACTGGAAGATTTACATTGAAGCAGAGGTTACTATTAGTTATTTTCTTATTTTACTTGGATTTTTTTTGTAAAGTAATTCTAGAAATTAACCCATTAATTTCTAGTGAAGTGCATGTCTTTTGGCAAGACTTTACTCAAAAGTGGTGTGCTATATTTAGTAAAAATGAGCCTAAAAACAAATTCATGGCTTAAAATTTGGCGTTTTCTGGTCAATAAGTTATTGCTATGACGACTGATTCACACGCATGTATTGAGGCAAAATAACATTGGGAAACCAAAAACTTTTCAAATAATGGTATATTATATAACAAAATTAAGCTTCAATGCTTGTATGCATACCATCTTGGGCATAGACTTACCTTGTGAGTGGCCGGATATTTATTAACCTATTTATGTGATGGCGACCATACAAGCGATGATATTATTACAGACAGTGTTTTACAATTAATGTGGGATTATCGTAATGAGTAGTCCCATGGTAGTATATTTAGTATCGGTACAACTGTTGCCAGTGGAGTATTTACAAATATAACTACATTATATTTACAGTCAACCTGCAGAGTACATTTAAAAAAAAAATTGCCATAATGTTTTTTTTTTTTTTTTACTGACTTTATAATAATTCAAAAATGTTGAACCTAATGAGTGGTCTTAGTGTCTTCTGTGAGTCTGTGTCATTATTGACTCATTGTCTCATTCTTTGGTTGGTCTGTGCTGATCAGAATGGAATGATTGTGAATGTTGAATTTATGTATATCTTGCATGGAATGCATGTTTTGTGAGGCATTGAGAGGTTAATTCGGAAAAAAACCCCAGTACAACCGATCTCATTCATAATTTGCAAGTAACTAAGTCGATTTGCCTTCATCAAAACTGAATTCAATGTATTGGTTATCACCATGAAAGAATTTATTTTATTTGAATGGTAAAGTACTAAAGTACTTACATGAAATAATGTGTTTTGGAACATTAAGATTTCCACTGATACCCAAATTGGAATGACACCATGTAAATTCTAACTTGTATGGTATGTGTCACAGTAGTATGCTTGTTTAAATTGATTTTGGATGATGGAGTGGTGGCTGCCTTGCTTATCTATAGAGTAATATTTGTGAAGTGAATTGTATGAGGAATGGATGTTTTACTGAATGCTTGCCTGGATTCTTCAGACCTGAGAAACTAGTTTGTATTTGTATGCATTGTATTGCGGGTAAAGTCTGCATGAAGTGACAGCCCTCATGAAAGGAAACTTGTGTGACATACTTGCATAACACAATTGACGGTGATGGCTGCCTATCTTAGCTACCCAGCTACGAGGTAATATTCGGGTAAGTGTGTGAGTATTGAATTGTTCCAGTGAACACTACAGTGTGCTTGAGAAACAAGTTGGTGACGAATTTTACCCAGAATGCCCCCAAATTGGCCATCTACACTCATTCAATGTACCGGTAATGTGCATTGTGTAACGTGCGTCTTGAAATGACAACCCAACAAACATTAAGGGACATGTTTTTAAATTCAACATTCTCTCAGTCCTAAAAATGAATGTAGCAAGATTAGTGCGGAGATCTGCCCTTGCTGGTCGCTAACATCAGGCAATTAAAATTCTTGACCAGAACAAAAGTGGCCAACCAACACTACGACGACAACTCATGTCGGCCTCTGGACCATCATTCTATTGTCCTAGTTTGTTTTAACACAATAACTCCTTTAGAAACATTTACACAGAGCAGAACTTGAATGAAATGCACTGTTGTTGACGTTCTGTTACATCTGGATAATGGAAAGCCAAACGGTGATTGATAAATAAGTTTAACATTGCAGTGCAGGATTTGTTAGAGTTGAAGAATACTGTAAAGGGGGTAATTATTCACTGGATTTTAATTTAGCTTATTTCGCTGACTGGAAAAATGCGCTAAATTAAAACACAGTGAATATGTAAAATTTAGCATAGCACACATTATCTAAATGACGAAACCGTGAATTTAAAACCCATTGATTATGCCTGAAATGGTAAATCAGTGAAATTTAAACCCAGTTAAAATTAGTCATTTTACAG